TTTACGTCCCTATCACATCATTTTTACTATTTTCATGTGTTTATTCACCTGTTTCTCTTTACATTCCTACCTAATTTTACGTCCTATCACATCATTTTTACTATTTTCTTGTGTTTATTCACCTGTTTCTCTTTACATTCCTACCTAATTTTACGTCCCTATCACATCATTTTTACTATTTTCTTGTGTTTATTCACCTGTTTCTCTTTACATTCCTACCTAATTTTACGTCCCTATCACATCATTTTTACTATTTTTTCTTGTGTTTATTCGCCTGTTTCTCTTTACATTCCTACCTAATTTTACGTCCCTATCACATCATTTTTTACTATTTTCATGTGTTTATTCACCTGTTTTCTCTTACATTCCTACCTAATTTTACGTCCCTATCACATCATTTTTACTATTTTCTTGTGTTTATTCACCTGTTTCTCTTACATTCCTACCTAATTTTACGTCCTATCACATCATTTTTTACTATTTTCTTGTGTTTATTCACCTGTTTCTCTTACATTCCTACCTAATTTTACGTCCCACATCATTTTTACTATTTTCTTGTGTTTATTCACCTGTTTCTCTTACATTCCTACCTAATTTTACGTCCTATCACATCATTTTTACTATTTTCATGTGTTTATTCGCCTGTTTCTCTTACATTCCTACCTAATTTTACGTCCCTATCACATCATTTTTTACTATTTTCTTGTGTTTATTCACCTGTTTCTCTTTACATTCCTACCTAATTTTACGTCCCTATCACATCATTTTTACTATTTTCTTGTGTTTATTCACCTGTTTCTCTCTACATTCCTACCTAATTTTACGTCCCTATCACATCATTTTTACTATTTTCTTGTGTTTATTCACCTGTTTCTCTTACATTCCTACCTAATTTTACGTCCCTATCATCATTTTTTACTATTTTTTGTGTTTATTCACCTGTTTCTCTTTACATTCCTACCTAATTTTACGTCCCTATCACATCATTTTTACTATTTTCTGTGTTTATTCACCTGTTTCTCTCTACATTCCTACCTAATTTTTACGTCCCTATCACATCATTTTTACTATTTTCTTGTGTTTATTCACCTGTTTCTCTTACATTCCTACCTAATTTTACGTCCCTATCACATCATTTTTACTATTTTCTGTGTTTATTCGCCTGTTTCTCTCTACATTCCTACCTAATTTTACGTCCCTATCACATCATTTTTACTATTTTCTGTGTTTATTCACCTGTTTCTCTACATTCCTACCTAATTTTACGTCCCTATCACATCATTTTTACTATTTTCTTGTGTTTATTCACCTGTTTCTCTCTACATTCCTACCTAATTTTACGTCCCTATCATCATTTTTACTATTTTCTTGTGTTTTATTCACCTGTTTCTCTTACATTCCTACCTAATTTTACGTCCCTATCACATCATTTTTACTATTTTCTTGTGTTTATTCACCTGTTTCTCTTACATTCCTACCTAATTTTACGTCCCTATCACATCATTTTTACTATTTTCATGTGTTTATTCGCCTGTTTCTCTTTACATTCCTACCTAATTTTACGTCCCTATCACATCATTTTTACTATTTTCTGTGTTTATTCACCTGTTTCTCTTTACATTCCTACCTAATTTTACGTCCCTATCACATCATTTTTACTATTTTCTTGTGTTTATTCACCTGTTTCTCTTACATTCCTACCTAATTTTACGTCCCTATCACATCATTTTTACTATTTTCTGTGTTTTTCACCTGTTTCTCTTTACATTCCTACCTAATTTTACGTCCCTATCACATCATTTTTACTATTTTCATGTGTTTATTCGCCTGTTTCTCTTTACATTCCTACCTAATTTTACGTCCCTATCACATCATTTTACTATTTTCTGTGTTTATTCCCTGTTTCTCTTTACATTCCTACCTAATTTTACGTCCCTATCACATCATTTTTACTATTTTCTTGTGTTTATTCACCTGTTTTCTCTTTACATTCCTACCTAATTTTACGTCCTATCACATCATTTTTACTATTTCTGTGTTTATTCACCTGTTTCTCTTACATTCCTATAATTTTACGTCCCTATCACATCATTTTTACTATTTTCTGTGTTTATTCACCTGTTTCTCTTTACATTCCTACCTAATTTTACGTCCCTATCACACATTTTTTACTATTTTCATGTGTTTATTCACCTGTTTCTCTTTACATTCCTACCTAATTTTACGTCCCTATCACATCATTTTTACTATTTTCATGTGTTTATTCACCTGTTTCTCTTACATTCCTACCTAATTTTACGTCCCTATCACATCATTTTTACTATTTTCTTGTGTTTATTCACCTGTTTCTCTTTACATTCCTACCTAATTTTACGTCCCTATCACATCATTTTTACTATTTTCATGTGTTTTATTCGCCTGTTTTCTCTTTACATTCCTACCTAATTTTACGTCCCTATCACATCATTTTTACTTTTTCATGTGTTTATTCGCCTGTTTCTCTTTACATTCCTACCTAATTTTACGTCCCTATCACATCATTTTTACTATTTTCTTGTGTTTATTCACCTGTTTCTCTTTACATTCCTACCTAATTTTACGTCCCTATCACATCATTTTTACTATTTTCTTGTGTTTATTCACCTGTTTCTCTCTACATTCCTACCTAATTTTACGTCCCTATCACATCATTTTTACTATTTTCGTTTATTCACCTGTTTCTCTTTACATTCCTACCTAATTTTACGTCCCTATCACATCATTTTTACTATTTTCTTGTGTTTATTCACCTGTTTCTCTTTACATTCCTACCTAATTTTACGTCCCTATCACATCATTTTTACTATTTTCTGTGTTTATTCACCTGTTTCTCTTTACATTCCTACCTAATTTTACGTCCCTATCACATCATTTTTACTATTTTCTTGTGTTTATTCCTGTTTCTCTTTACATTCCTACCTAATTTTACGTCCCTATCACATCATTTTTACTATTTTCATGTGTTTATTCACCTGTTTCTCTTTACATTCCTACCTAATTTTACGTCCCTATCACATCATTTTTACTATTTTCTTGTGTTTATTCACCTGTTTTCTTTACATTCCTACCTAATTTTACGTCCCTATCACATTTTTACTATTTTCTTGTGTTTATTCACCTGTTTCTCTCTACATTCCTACCTAATTTTACGTCCTATCACATCATTTTTACTATTTTCTTGTGTTTATTCGCCTGTTTCTCTCTTACATTCCTACCTAATTTTACGTCCCTATCACATCATTTTACTATTTTCTTGTGTTTATTCACCTGTTTTCTCTACATTCCTACCTAATTTTACGTCCCTATCACATCATTTTTACTATTTTGTGTTTATTCACCTGTTTCTCTTTACATTCCTACCTAATTTTACGTCCCTATCACATCATTTTTACTATTTTTCATGTGTTTTATTCGCCTGTTTCTCTTTACATTCCTACCTAATTTTACGTCCCTATCACATCATTTTTACTATTTTCTTGTGTTTATTCACCTGTTTCTCTTTACATTCCTACCTAATTTTACGTCCCTATCACATCATTTTTACTATTTTCTTGTTTATTCGCCTGTTCTCTTTACATTCCTACCTAATTTTACGTCCCTATCACATCATTTTTACTATTTTCTTGTTTATTCACCTGTTTCTCTTACATTCCTACCTAATTTTACGTCCCTATCACATCATTTTTACTATTTTCATGTGTTTATTCGCCTGTTTCTCTTTACATTCCTACCTAATTTTACGTCCCTATCACATCATTTTTACTATGTTTATTCGCCTGTTTCTCTTTACATTCCTACCTAATTTTACGTCCCTATCACATCATTTTTACTATTTTCTGTGTTTATTCACCTGTTTCTCTCTACATTCCTACCTAATTTTACGTCCCTATCACATCATTTTTACTTTTTTCATGTGTTTATTCGCCTGTTTCTCTTTACATTCCTACCTAATTTTACGTCCCTATCACATCATTTTTACTATTTTCTTGTGTTTATTCACCTGTTTCTCTTTACATTCCTACCTAATTTTACGTCCCTATCACATCATTTTTACTATTTTCATGTGTTTATTCACCTGTTTCTCTTTACATTCCTACCTAATTTTACGTCCCTATCACATCATTTTTACTATTTTCATGTGTTTATTCGCCTGTTTCTCTTTACATTCCTACCTAATTTTACGTCCCTATCACATCATTTTTACTATTTTCATGTGTTTATTCGCCTGTTTCTCTTTACATTCCTACCTAATTTTACGTCCCTATCACATCATTTTTACTATTTTCTTGTGTTTATTCACCTGTTTCTCTTTACATTCCTACCTAATTTTACGTCCTATCACATCCTTTCACTATTTCATGTGTTTATTCGCCTGTTTCTCTTTACATTCCTACCTAATTTTACGTCGGGTATATTTCCCCGATAGTTCTCTGATCCCTACGACCATGGAAGACATCGAGGCAGAAGACGCCACCTTCGCCTTCTCGGAGAAGTCCATTCGGATGGGCTTCATAAGGTGAGGTTCATGAGACTCCGACTTCGAAGCGTATCGCCATCTGCCTGCTTCGTTTCTTGAGATTGTCGGTCAATTTGATTTATTTCTTATTTTCTCCCTTTCTGTCTCTCACTATCCCTTTTCCTCTTATTTCTCTCCACCCTTCGAATGTGAAACTCTTTATCTGCTTAGGAGTTCATGGTGAATAGAAATACACAAGATAAACAAAAAGATTTAATCTCATACAAGATCGTTGAGACATATCCTCATGGAAAAAATGAATACCAATATTCAGCTTGCCCTTTGAAAAAGAAAAGACTCTAACCTCATTCTTTCCACCCAACAGGAAGGTGTACGCCATCTTGTGCACGCAGCTCCTGATCACCTTTGGTCTGGTGGCCGTGTTCGTATGGGTGCCCGCAGTCAACGACTACGCCCTCAAAAACCAATGGATGCTCTGGGTCGCCATAGGCCTGACGTTCACCATGGTCATCGCCCTCTCCTGCTGTGGCAACCTGAGGAGGAAGTCGCCACATAACTACATAGCGCTGTTCGTGTTCACCATCAGCGAAGCGTACCTGCTCGGGGTCGTGAGTGCCTCTTACCAGGGGAAGGAGGTCGCCATCGCCATCGTGGCCACGGCGGTGGTGACGCTGGTGCTCACGCTCTTCGCATTCCAGGTGAGGGGATGGAGAGACAGGTGAGAGGGGAGAAAAGGAGGGAAAGGCGGAGGGCAAGATGGGAGGGAGCAAAGAGGGTGAGAAGGATGGTGAAAATGAGAAAGATGGTGAGGATAGGAAGGAATGAGATATTCTTTCAAGAATATCTTAAAGGTTGGAAGGTAACTGAATGGAAGGGGAAAGAGGGAGAGAGGTAGAAAAGGAAGGGGTAGGGGAAAGAGAGGCGAAGACAGGAGGGAAGGTGATGGGGGAGATTTCATATGACTTGATTATGAACAACCATCCCAGTATTTTGAACAAGGCTGCTAAATCTGTTATTTTTATGTTCCGACACATAGAATGGTGATATGTGTTAGGTTAGCTTTATGAAAATCTTATTTGCAGATCAACAATTACCATCGGTTAAACTTTTAACCCAGGATTGTCAGACAAAACTCTTCATGGGCTAATTTTCCCTGTAGCTGTGTTGAGTGCCAATAAAGTGTATCCTGGCTTCCCAAGATTTCAGTACTAAAACTAGATGGTATTATGTACGTAAAGCTTATTTGACATAAAAGATTTCAGATGGCACTACTGGCAGTAACAAATTGTGGATAGCGTTATGTTCTTTCTTGGCGATCATGATTTCACAGACAATTCTTCTTGTCACCTCGCGGGTCCATCGTGAGGGCCAGATTTGTCCTGCGGGCCATGAGTCTAACACCCTGATTAAAGGCCTTTTCTTGTAGAAGTCCCCCAAAATCTGATACATGTTTGTCCTTTGCATGCACATTACTGGAACTTGTTGAAACATCTTTTCCTTTTGTATCAGTGTCTGCCTCTACCTTGACGCACTCGGGCCCGCCAAGCAGAGCGTGTATTTTCCAGATATGTTTCACGCTGGGTCAGAGAGGAATTTAGAATTTCATTAATTATAAATCGCATCGTGAGTTCCTTCATATAAAATTCTATTCAAAAGATGCATAGAATGTTTTTTAACAGTGCATCAAGTTCTGTACATGTTCACTCGACATGAGTAAGATTTGTCATGGTTGCTGGAACGACTTGGTAAGAATTTTTAACGAGTTCGAATCATATGACGTGGTGTTGACTTCGGTGGAATCAATGTCTTCAAAATCATTCTGTACCTCTACGCTACAACTTTACGGCCTCAAAAGATATCGCAGAATTGACCGTGTATCTTGATTTGTTGATATGATTCAATTAGTAAGACAAGCAATTACCTCTGATCATTAGCATTATCTAGTAATCTGATTCAGACAGAGCTTACACACAGTGGATATGATAAGATGCAAAACCTCATGCAACTCCCACTTTTCATATGAAGAACAATGCATGTAATGATTTTTGACTGAATCTGAGAAATACTTTTGGAATTTTCCACAGACTTCCGAAGCGAAAAGGAATATCTATAAAATCATCATATTTGCCGAGCAGTCAAATACTTTTCCACTTTATTTGACGTTGCTACAATGGTTAAATATATCTGCATATGAAGGTCTTTAATGGTTTTCTGTTGACTTTTGTGAAATTAAGAGCATAATATATATATATATATATATATATATATATATATATATATATATATATATATATATATATATATATATATATATATATACTTCTTATGTCAGTGCAAACTCTGATGATAATTGTGTTTTGTAGTAACCAAACCATCTAACATGTATTAGCGTTTGGAGTTTCGGGATGCTACAAAAAGGCCTTTAGTCTCGTATCGTTGTCTGGTACCCCTTTTGCTCCACGTCTTCCCTTTCTCTCGCTATCTACCTCATTCTTTTCCCCTTCCCCTTCTCTTTCTCTCCCTGACTCCATGTTTCTCCCAACAGACCAAATATGACTTCACTATGATGGGCGGCTTCGTCCTCGTCAGCCTAACCGTCCTCCTGATATTCGGCATCTTGGCAGCCATTTGGTCCAACCAGATCGTCAACATGGTGTACGCTTGCCTCGGGGTCCTCCTCTTCAGCTTCTACCTGGTGTTCGATACCCAGCTCATCATAGGAGGGAACCACAAATTTGCCTATTCGCCGGAGGAGTACGTGTTCGCGGCCCTCAACTTGTACCTCGATATCATCAACCTCTTTATGTACATTCTCGCGATCATTGGAGGATCAAGGGACTAAGGATGTGAAGGAAGGTAGATGAAAGGAAAGGGAAAGAAGGGGGGGGGCAGAATGGAGAAGGGGTGGATTTTGCTTATTCGTTAGTGACTCATTACCAAGGGTTGGATTGGATCATGTTATTTATGAGGCACATGATTTGAAGAAAAAGGCTGCAGAAGGAATGGGCTAAGGTGAATGATTATCTGTTTGCCTATCTATTTATGTATGTACACATGCACATCACTATCAGCTATTTTGTTTGCATATCGAGCTGTAGTCTTCGGGAAACATGTGTGATGTGCTCGCCAATAAAACCATAAAGGTATCTCTTGATTTTACCTCCATCCCCTGGAATGTTGGAATCCATGGACAGATTCCCTCATTTATAACATCTTCCTGTTCCGATTTCGACGATTTGTTTTTTAGTGCGCCCAACGACCTTTGTTTACTGGCGCTCTCTCGATAGAAATTCTTGTTTCCTTTAACGTAGAAGGAATTCTGGGTATCGGCGGTCCACATGGCTTTAAAAAGATTCTAAGAATTTATCCTTTTTTATTGATAGAATTTCATGAGTCGTAGCAATATGGAAACAACAAAAGGAATATACAATATGAGAATCACAAAAATAAATATATTTTTCCCAGTAACAATAGAAAGTAAAAATACTTTCTTTGTTTCATTACATCGCAAATCTAATCATATCGCCGCAATTACTGCTGTCCAAGCTTCCTCCCTTCACACACATACCCCCCCATCATCATCATCATCATAAAGCAACAACTGCTGGGACCTGAGAAGAAAGAAAATGACGTTCCCCTTTAGGTCTCCCTACGAAAAATTGTTTTCGTTACACTTAAGACCAACGTTTAAACAAAGAAAATTACATACTCATGAAACCTCTATCAGCAACCTTTAAAAACTTAGGCAAAGATAAGTTGGTGGACGAAAATGACTTTCCTTCCCCTCCATTCTCTCTTACTAGACGTTATATCAATGTCTGTCTGTGTGTGCGCGTGTGTGTGCACACTGCGAGGCCAAAAACGTACCATTATTGGGTTGTGTATAGTGTGTGCACATACAGAAACACAGTTCAAGCAGATCTTTGACCAGTGATTAAATATTTCAGTACTAAAATATTGCACAAACATTAAATTGCTGTTTATTTCTTTTCTTTTCTTTCTTTTCCATGATATTTTAGCTGTAAATAGAAATGCCAGTTTTTCATGTTTTCATAAAATTAATCTCAATCTGTTTCAAAATAGTTTTGGAGAGCAGCAATATTTCGGGTGTTTTATACATATTCAGTCAAATACTTCACGCAATTTGCCAAAAAGGGAAAGGACTCAAACAATAGTGAAGACATACTCAATAAAATAAAAATCTCATCTAAAATAAACAAAAATGTAGGCCTATAACTTTACCTTCAATCCGCTTTTTGTTCTTTTAGTAATTCAATATAGAAATCGGTTCTTTGTTAGACAGATTTCACAAAAGAAAATCAACTTGCCATGCTAGCAGATGTCCAGGCCTGTATGGAACATTCCAGAAACTTTAATTTCGTTTTGCAAATTCCCATTCCTTAAAATATGCCATTTCATTCTCTTCGGCAATGAAAGATTCTTGAAACGCTCTGAAATTTCTGAATTCATTCCCTCTTATATTTCCCAGAAACTTTTAACTCTTTCCCTATAGTTTCTTGAAAAGTCTCCTCTCACCAAGATTTTTTTTTACTCGTCAAATCATCCATGATTTATCATTTGAAGCTGATAAACGATGTTTATCATTATAAGATGAGCTTACAAAACAGAAAAAATATCGATTTCAAAATGTATTTAGACCCCATTTTTTGTGTGGGGAGATGGGTACTAATAAGTCTTTAAGTTATTAATGGATATTTCTCGAAAAGGTTAGCAAGAAAAACAAGATTTTTTCTGACAATTCATTGACACCTTTCACGCGACAGGAATCGAGCAGGTGGTATACATTAATAGAGTTGCCAGATGCATTTCTCCTACTTCGGATATTTCATGCATATTCGTACTTATATTGGATATCCATAACACATCACTACCCACCATAAGATATCAAAAGCCATCTTGGATATCATATTCCAAAATACTGTGTACTTGTCGGAAAAAAGCCGTCAACCGCGGCTATTCCCATTACGTCACATAAATGGGCGGAGCTTAGAGGCCTGTCTCGCCTCCGATCACGAGACAGCTTATGGTGTCGCGTCGCGTCGCCAGACACCCTAATTGCTAACGGAAAAGATGCCTTTATAATTTAAATGCAACAGTAAAATGATGTGTCGAAAATGAACACCCTTTTGCAGATAATTTCCATTGTTTATTATGCAATCTAGCAAGATTAAAAGAGGACAGCATGGCACGATTGTCAATATTAATAAAAAAAAAATGACGTGGCAAATTGATATGAGCCAAGTACAAATGGAAACAGCCAAGTACAAATGGAAATTGAAATAATTTAAGCATGTAAATACATAATTACTGAATGTCCAATGCAAAATGCCTAAATACTCATTTAGGAATTTCTTAGGAATATACAGTAATCATCCATCGGTTACGCAGTTCAAATAAATTCATATAGGCTGATTTAACCCCTCTGTAAATATGAGAACACAAACCGTTTCCAGGCATTGTGTATTGCGCTGTGGTGGGCGAAGATTCTACGATTTCCGCTCAGTTGTTTAGCATTTTCAGCGGGATAGTGTTGTGGATGGTGCTGAAATTTGGGTTTAACTGTTTTAGAGCGCGCGCACGCACACACACACACACACACACACCGCAAAGGGCTAAAGGCTGCTCTCCCCCCGCCTTAACGTGTTTGAGAATCCAGCCCTGGGCTGTTAAACTCATTCACCCAGGGGGCCATATTTCACCTTAGTATGCACTATCAGGCCAAATTGTCTTACGATTGACGTAAACACGTAGGAGGACATTTCGTTCATTACAAAATCACAATGATAGAAAAAAAAAAAAAAGAGTGCGAGTGATAATCTCAGCTGGCGAGGGACTGGCTTAATTAATAATGTAAAACGGCCACCTAGAAGACTGGAATAGCAAAAGTAAAGCGGGCCGCGTGCTTGACGACCTCGATGTAGACGGAGTTTAACCACACCTGCCGTCCAATGTTGTTTCATGTTGTGATGCGATAGACCCTGCAGTGATCTTCAGGTTTGTTAAGCAAAAATAACAATCATGTATAGCAAATGACATTCAGTTTAATATGTTGGGTGCAACCAAAAATCCTTTCAGAAAAGGACAATAGTGATAATATCTGAAAGCCAAGGCTGTTAAAGAAAACTAACCTGACTTTCATCAATTTACTGCTCTGATCAACTAATCCATTGGGGCTCACGATGTTGCTGAAAGGGGAGCCTCGCAAGTCTTGTCAAAATAATAGCATTAAACCGTCTTCCCTTTGTCTTAAATTTTAAATGACGGTTCACTCTGAACAATGCACACATCTATTCACCTTGATAAGCTAACACTGTCGCAATTCTGGACATGAATGGCTGCATTGTACTGCGACTGACGCGGCCTGAGACATACATAATGTTGTATGTGACTCGGTCACGGAACCAAGTGAGTGCATGCATGCTCGGGAATTCACAATTGCTCATGTTGCATATATTTATTGCTGCAGTCAACTGCACTGTTTCCTATTCCAGTCTATTAATCCGGGCATTAAAATATTACTGAACATGTAATCATATATTGTGGTTGGAGGGGAACCATAGGACTCATGACTATAGTCCTTCGGGAAAGTCTTGGACCTGACAATCCTCTCCTGGATGATGTCCCCGTCACTGGCATATTCCCAGAAAGTGCTCAAGTTGTGACGAGGCGTTTGCATGGTGTAGAACATAGCGCCCATGTGGTTGCCCCAATCTGTGATGGGATCGCCTTTCCAGTAACGCCTCTGGTTGACTGGATGACGGCTGGTTATGATGTACGCATCCTTCTCCAAGCCCGCATCCGCCACTAGCTCTACCAGGGCGGTGTTGATCATTCCTGAGTTAAAGGTGACACCATGGTATTGACATCACTTGGAATTTCTGCAACAACCGAGGCTCCAAGTCAGTTATGGTGTATTCTGTGGGAAAACCTTCTTTTTTTGGAATTCCAAAGGCCTGTTCCAGAAGTGGTGTAAAGTTGGAATTCACAGTTTCATCAATTATATGCTGGAAGTCCTCTGGTCTGCTCTCCAAGTTCTTCAGCACTTCCCTTTCGATATCCATAGTACATTCCCCACTCACAAACTTCCCCAATTGCTCTTTGCTGATAGGAGAACCCAAGACCGCAGCCTCCAGCAGCTTCAGAAATGTACTGAAAATCACCTTTGCAGTGATGCCATCAGATAGCCCATGATGGATGTGAAACATGAGGTCATACTGATGAGGAAATTTCTCTTTCATCTCTGGCATAGGACATGGGACGCCAGGAGCTGCCGGGAGGAGACGAGCACGCCAAAGAGGTGCTTATGTAGAATTCTCAAAAGGTTGAAGCAAAAGCTTGTTGATTGCTGTTAACACATCCGAATCCTTTAGAACCTGTACAGAGAAACTAAACCTTAGTGCTGTCCTTTATCCCAAGACTGAATTATATTAATACTGTAGTTATAGAACGTGAGAAAACTGGCAATTAAAAAAAAAAAAAACATAATCAGCCAGAACTCGGGTTGATATTATCCAAAACTCATACACTTCGTGTGATCCATTAAATTCACGCTTCATGTATACATCGGTAATGCACATCCCTAGCCCAAACTGAGACGTATAAGTGTTTATACGCCTCCCATATTTCAGTCTGCTTAAATGGGTAAGGAGGTCATTGTGCCCATATCTCGCATAGCCGAGGATGGTCGTCTATTTACCAGCGGTGTAATCTATTCAGTTTTTATTTGTGTGTCTGGCGAGTCCCAGAGCTATACATGCCACATGGTGCACTTTGAACTGCTGGGATGGGCAATTTGGCAGCTTGAACAGACAGCCTGTAAGCAAATAAAGTAACACTAAGAGAGAGAAAGAGAAAAGAGAGAGAGAGAGAGAGAGAGAGAGAGAGAGAGAGAGAGAGAGAGAGAGAGAGAGAGAGAGAGAGAGAGAGAGAGAGAGAGAGAGAGAGAAAGAAAAAGAAAAGAAAAGAAAAAAGAAAAGAAAGAAAAAAGAAAAGAGAGAGAGAGAGAGAGGGGGGGAGGGAGGGAGAGAGGGAGAGACTTCAATTCCTCATCTTTGTTTCAACTGTATCAAAAATCTCATTCAAGTTATGAAAGGATATACTTAAAAAAAAAAAAATAGAATTCCATA